TTCTCCTTTCCTGGATGCTCCCCGCATGCCCTAAACCTGCTCTGGAAGGCTGAGGACACTCCCAGAGCAGGTGGTTCTTCTCCCCTCCCCCTAAATATGGGTTGGAGAGCCCTCCAGATCATAGTGGGGCAGTGCTGGAGGAAGCAGCACCAAAAGGCTAGAGCAGGCATAGGCAAACTCCGGCCCTCCAGATGTTTTGGAACTACAATTCCCATCATCCCTAGCTTACAGGACCAGTGATCAGGGATGATGGGAATTGTAGTCTCAAAACATCTGAAGGGCCGGAGTTTGCCTATGCCTGGGCTAGAGGCAGGGCCCCCAATCTGGGCACCAATGAGCACCAAGAACCTGTAAGCATTGGATTGGTGATCCCTAACCCATAGGTTCTGTTCTGACCTTCAAATCAGGAACACACATAGGTGGGAGGTGAGGTCTACTATGAACGGGGTGTGAACTTGGTACACTGAATTCAAACTGAGGACACGTTTTACTCCTGCCCCCCAAAGTGTTTGCCTTTAGACTGTGTTAGAGTGAGTGGAAGCTGGTCTATTAAGGCAAATGGGCCACTGGGCCACCAATCTCAACTGGTCCTTAGCCAGCCCCCATGTTTCTACCTTCTTATTTAAAGCCACTCCAAGGGGGTGGCACTGTCAGCTTCACCTCAGTCCTGCCCTCCCAGAACTTGAGAGGGGACAAAACCAAAATAAGTTGGCTCTAGTGGTCATTAGCTGTTTCGATGCCCGACCTCTTCTCCGTATTATGCAGCATGCGGGCGCTTTGAAGACTTGAGCACACTTTATTGTGTGGAAATATTAAATGTTTAAACAGATCTCCAAGGATGTTAAGGTATCTGGAAGGCTGGTTTCATAAAAAAACAAGACAAAAAGCTTTCCCCACATTTGAGACAGGGACTGCCAGCTCATTCAGCCTTTAAAATAATTGCTGGGAAAGTACCTTTTAATTTTTGTGTGCTTAAATTGGCCTATTGAAACAGCTGTCACATTCAGATGAGCGTCCTCGGCTGCTATAAATTAACCCTCCATCCGAGGCACCTCTGTTCCTTCTTTCCCCCTTGCCTAGAGAAATTTCAGAGATGTCAGTCGCCCATTCAACTTGGGAGGATTCGGTGACACAAGCGAGTGCAGGCTCTTTGTTCCCAAGCCCCAGGGGGCCACAAAGCCCTTCAAGCTGAAGTTGATGAACGCCACTGGAAGCTGGAGATAAGCTCCACTGGGAAGCCAGCATGCTCAGCCCTGGCACCTGAATAGCAATGCCTCGGTGGGGCGACCTATTTCTGCAAGCTCCTGAGCCCCGCTGCCAGTCTTTGCAGCTCATATTTATGCAAAACCGTCCATGCAAATTAATCAGTCAGTCCCCCTGCAGGGACAAGGAGAAGGAGCACGCAGCAGAGAAATCCAAAACTATCGTTTTGGGAATTTGAACATATATCAGCTTCCCATATTGACCAAGCTATCCCGTTTAGAAATACTCTAGGTAACTGCCGCGTGACTCCTTTACCAATTCTTAATGAGGCCTCTGTGCTCAACAACATGCTAATTATGTCATAGGATGAGCTTGGGTGGAAGATCCCCCAGGCATGCTCTGTTAACTAATTTCCTAGTAAAAAAACAAAACAAAACCCATATCTGTAGGAAAGAGCAAAGGCTAGCTTTAATCGTCCTAAAGGCTGCAAAGGGCTAATGTTAATTATCAATAAAAGAGAAAAAGAACAAGGATCAACGAGAGCCAAGGTAAAATGCTTACACCCGAAATTAAAATTAGAGAAGGCTAAAATGCATAGTGCTTTTAATGCAAAGGGCCTATTTTAAATGAGCTTTTAAATGCATATTTTGACGGTTTCAGGATTAGTACAGTGGCACCTCGGGTTACAGATGCTTCAGGTTACAGACTCCACTAACTCAGAAATAGTACCTCGGGTTAAGAACTTTGCTTCAGGATGAAATGAGAACAGAAATTGTGTGGTGGTGGCAGCAGGTGGCCCCATTAGCTAAAGTGGTACCTCAGGTTAAGAACAGGTTCAGGTTAAGAACGGACCTCCAGAACGAATTAAGTTCTTAACCTGAGGTACCACTGTATTTGCTACTCCACAACTGCTTCTTTTTAAGATTGTACAATTTTTCAGGATTTGAATAGTACATTTGGATTGGCTGTTACTGAATACAGTGAGAAAATAAGGCGTCAGAGAATGTACCTGGAAATGGTAACAATGGACAGGAAAATGGTTTGTTGTTGTTGTTTAGTCGTGTCCAACTCTTCATGACCCCATGGACCAGAGCACACCAGGCACTCCTGTCTTCCACTGCCTCCCGCAGTTTGGTCAAACTCATGTTGGTAGCTTTGAGAACACTGTCCAACCATCTCATCCTCTGTCATCCCCTTCTCCTTGTGCCCTCAATCTTTCCCTGCACCAGGGTCTTTTCCAGGGAGTCTTCTCTTCTCATGAGGTGGCCAAAGTATTGGAGCCTCAGCTTCATGATCTGTCCTTCCAGTGAGCACTCAGGGCTGATTTCCTTAAGAATGGATAGGTTTGATCTTCTTGCAGTCCATGGGACTCTCAAGAGTCTCCTCCAGCACCATAATTCAAAAGCATCAATTCTTCGGCGATCAGCCTTCTTTATGGTCCAGCTCTCGTAGCCCTACTGTTAGAATTCAGTGGAATATAGTTAGTTCCAAGTAAAGCATACCTAAGTGCTGAATAGATGGACTCAGGACCTTACCAGATGAGACAAAGGAGACCCGTAATCCCATCTTCCATCTCTGGTTGTGTGTGTGTTGAAGGGTGGGGGGCTGTCTGCACAAGGTAACAGAATCATAGTATCATAGAATTGTAAAATTGGAAGGGATCCCGAGGGTCACCTTGTCTAACCACATGCAAAGCAGGAATCTCATGGCTCTGGGGGAATAGGTGCTTAACTCTTTCCTCTTGGGCTATTTTCCTGATCACCCTCACCCCATTTCTAGCTGTCACATGAAGCCAAGAGAGATAGACATTGTGTACAATGGGCCTAATAGCAGTTTTGACAGGAAGGGGCAATTTAAAAAAAACAAAAACGAGAGAACAGCCCAAACCTAAATTACACCTCCTTGCCACAACCACCACTTGCAAAAATGTTCATTAAAAAAAATCCGTAGCAGCTGTTTTGGCAAGCAAGCAAATAAAACAACTGCATTAAAAAATAGAATATTTGAGACTCAAAGGAAAAATATGAGAACAGAGGTTTTGACGAATGGACTACCAAAAACGCGTGAGGCAAACAGTGGAAGTCTTTTTAAAATATTTTAATTTAGTTAAGGATATGATGAAAATACATAATTGAACATAAATATAGATTGGAAATGGCTGTGTATAGTGAATACTTATCTCCTTTTAAAATTCTCATTCTTGATCTTATTTCTTCCTTTTCTTTATCTTCTTCTTGTTCTCTTCTTTTATATTATACCTTTCATTTCTTTTCTTTATTGTGAATATTGTTTTTTAGAGGTGTAAATAATTGTAAAAATGAGAAGAGGTAAAATGTTTTCTAATTTTCTCTTGGTTACATGTACTTTCCTTTTTTGTATATTTGTATTTTTTTTCTAATTTGTACTCAATAAAATTATATTATAAAAAAAAAATAGAATATTTGATCAGAGTTCTGCCAACTCATCTAGTTAGCATAATTCAAATGGCATGCTATGGCTCAAAGGGGAAAACACTCTAGTGTTCAGATTCTGTTTGTGGGTTTCCCACATGCATCTCTGGTTGGCCACTGTGAGAACAGGATGGTGGACTCGGCCTGATCCAGTAGACTCTTCTTATGCTCTCAGAGCAAAACAGGAATAAATTGTTAAGGAAAAGCCAGATGGAGAAATAAGACTTTGTCTGGTGGTTGAAGCTGTAAATCACTTGGAAGGCTTCATGCAAGAGGCAGCAAAATTAGCAATTTACATTTCTGTCCAATTGCATGTCTGACAAAAGTTGATTGATTCAAAATCTGACAGGGAAAATAGAAATGAATGCCCCCCCCCCCGGTTCTCCGCTTCTTCACACTTCCCTAACTGTGAGATGTCATCACATCACTGTGACAGAGAGGCATTTTCATTATGGGGGGGGGACCCTAAGCCCACCTGACTTTTATCTTTACATTGGCAGGATCGTGAGGTGAAAAGCAGTTTACCTTTTTAATAAAAAATGCAAGATTAACATGTCAAACCATTTTGGTAAATTGACAGAAATAACGTATTTCTACTCCTGCAGCAACAAAAATGTATGAAGAAAATTGTCCCATATTAGGGTCCCTTTATGATGGGATTGTTTACGCCATCTGTGTTCGCCACATAGCTTGCATCCTAGAACTCTATGTGCTGTATACAGTTTCTAGGCAGCCCTGTTTAGGGAAGTTTGTGATGTTTGAAGTTTTATACTGTTTTTAGTGTTCTGTTGGGAACCACCCAGAGTGGCTGGGGAAACCCAGCCAGATGGGCAGGGTATTTATTTATTTATAATAAAATAAAATAATTCCATCTAGGCACTGGCTATATCAATCTTCCCCAGGCTGCTGCCTTCAGTTTTGGACCACAGCTGATGCTTACTCACAGGCATGTATAGGGCTGCTGCATTACCTGCCCACACTCAGACATTGCGGTCCTTGAGCACCCCTTTTCGATATGGATCTCAAAGTTCAGCCCTGGTCATTCAGCAGACCACTTCAAGCACCTGAAACAGCTTCAATCCCACCACTGATTGAACTCTAAACGCATGCCTTTTTGAGTCCTGTCACTCAGGAGAAGGCAGGTTTGTGTGCCACCCTGATGTTTTATATTATGATTGTGGTGATTATAATTATTGTTATTTTGGCAGAAGGAAGAATACAAATGAGACTGATAATAAAAGTGTCCATAAGAGGCTTCATGAATCATATCTGTAAGACAAGACAAAGAGTTACTCATATCCAAAAGGTTCTCTAGCCCCTAAACTATTGAAAAATCCCCTTTTCTTTGGGCTTTAAGATCTTTTATTATTAAATGTTTCCCATAATACAATAAGATTACAACTACCAAAGATACGAACTGAAGAAAGGAAGAAAAGGGCGATAGAAATAAAGGAAAGAGAAAGAATAATAAAAAAACCAATTAGCAAAAGATACAAAAGAACTTCCTGTTTTCCATCTGCCAGTTACATTAAAAAAAAGTTTATTAAAAACCTTTAGTCCATACATACATACATCTTCTCCACTTTCTGTTAAACATTTTTTTTTAAGTCAAGATGTCTCAGAATTATTTTTCTACAAAACGTCCCAACTGTGACCACACACTATGGGAAAAAACCCTTTTTCATAGTGATAGCAGGTCTTAAGGCTTAGCGTTTTACTTTGTCAAGCCCCTGCTCACTGGCTGTAGGACACTGGGAATGGCTGGATCCTCCTTCTGACTTCTTGGTTGTTCAGTGCCTGTGCAAGGATTAGGACTGGAAATACTACACAGGCAGGAACTGCTGAGCCACTGAAGGATGTGCAGCAAGAGCATGCAAACAGACACTCTGCATACATGAATGCAGCCAAGCCTTTGCCGTATCTTGGTGGCAGTGGTGCCATCAGATCAGAATGCTAGCACATGGGCCCACTCAGTTGAGTGAGCCAGAGGACCCCCTCATATAACCATCAAGCCCAGAGTCTAAAATGGAAGCATTTAGTCCTACTTGCTGCTAAGCACATTTTGTCACCGAGGCTGAACTGTGACATGTGCCTTAACTATGGTTTATCCAAACAAGCCAGGATTTTAAACTGTGGTTTGAAGTTGACTTGTTCACACAAACCGTAGTTACTGCTAGCGAGTTTGCCCTGGGTCAGACACAAAAACAAATTATAGTTGGGGTGTTACATGCCACCCCAGATGACAAAACCCACCCAACAGTGGTGGAGTTAGGTAAAGCTTTTCCGCCCAGCCGTGCAGGAGAGCAGGTGAGCAGTCATGGGTATTTAATGAGAAATTATGGTTTAAAATCTAAGCCTCAGGTTTACATCTGAACAAGGCTGTTATGTGTAATTATAGAGGTGAGTCATCCTGGATTAAGTTAGACTTGCCTTCTTATATCCGATTTCTGTGACTACTTTTATACATATGAAGGGACAGAAACTCAGGGCTTTGCAGACCATGAATGTTAACTTATATTAATACTAAAGCATAGCACTTGAAAACTAGCTACACTTGGGTATGAAACAGACAAGGTGGTAAGCAAGATAAAGAACATTTCATCGCCATTGCAGCCATGTCAGCAACCACCCAGAGCACACCTTTGCTAAAATATTTCACACAGAGAAGACTTTAGGGACATTTTGTAGAAATACCTAACGCAGGAACATTTATTGTGTGCTGAACGCTAACACACAGGTTATCTTGTCAGATACACACACCAACTCTTGACGGAGCCTGACACAGTAGGGATTCTTATTTGAAAAATGTACCAACATCCTGCACCTCAGAGAAAGCATTAAAAGATAACAGGCAGCATGCTTGCTGCAGGCTGTTTTATAGCATTTTCATTGCTCTGAAGTAACAACAGGAAGTGCTTGTCTGTCCTGAGAGAGGACATAAGTAAAAAGAAATAAGAGCATTCCATGGAGCTTTTTAGTAAAGTCTCAGACAGGAAAGTGCCATTGATTAAATATGAAATTTCTCTTTCATTTCACATTTGCTCCCCCTGGACACTTCTATTGCTCTGGAAAGTGGTAAGGAAATCCTCCGGCAGGCTAAAGAAAGGTAGGGACAGAGTATAAAAGTGATGGAATGAAAAAAACCGATAGGAATAATTCTAGTAACGCCACAGTAAAAGCAAAAGCTTGGAGATTTACAATGAATGACAACCCAAGTTGTGTAGGCTAACTCCATTTGCAGTGTTTACGAAATATCTCTGCTCAGCATTGTTCAGTTCTGGCATGTATTAGAAGATGATGCACAACGTCTCCTGAACACAGCCATCTGGCTTACCAGTTATGGAACTAAAGCAGCATGGAACTAAAGAATAAACAAGTCAAGACTTAAATACCACTATGTCACATGTGGTTCTTCAACAAAGGAAAGTGTGTTCATCAACGATCAAACAGTGCAATCCTGCACATGTTAACAAAGAAGTACACTCCATTGTATTCAATGGAGCTTACTTCCAGGTAAGAGTACGAGATAGTTAGTGACAAAAGAACTGAGTCACAGCAAGCGTTGGCGGTCAAAATGATTCAATCCGGCATAGAATCTAGACGTAATCTAGTCTGTATCTCCCAGAATTTTTATTTCCAGCAGGAAGGAAGTTGGTAGACTTTCTGGATTTCACAGTTCTGCCTCCGTGAAGGGAGGAGAAAATAGAAGTGTAGAACACAGAATCAAGTATGGTACAACAGTTCAAAATACTGCTTTAAAAACAAAACAGGAAAAGGGAAATTGCCATTCAGTCCACAAGTGCCCCTTCTGGAAGCTCAACTACTACGGGGGCATCATCTTCTGGCTCAGCCTCAAAGTCCCACTTGAACTTCTTGGTTAGGTGGACTTTAAACCTCTCTGCCTTCTTTCTCAGAGTCCTGTCAACAGTTGGGCTGCAGGTATAGGAAAAGAAGACCTAGAAAAAACACAGTACAGTCCGTTAGTAGAATAGTATAGAAGACACACTGGGTTGTATTCAATGCTAGTCCTACCCAGAGTAGACTCACCAAAGTTAATGAACATGACTAACTAGGGTCCATTAATTTCAATGGGCCTACTCTCAGTAAAACACCATTGGGCACAGAGAGAGGAGGAACCCGACTGGACTGCATACATATAATACTAATAATATAATAATAATTTTAAGGGGAAAACGTCAAAGGTCAAATCCCAACCTAATATGCTCCTGCATCACAGAGGCACACACAAAAACCTGATACAAACCTAAGCACAATTCACTTGAAAGGTTTAGAGTTGTGACTTAGAGAAGCAATGGAGTCAAGCCATGCTCAGTTATCCATAATACTCTGTTTTGGATGTTGGGAAGAAACAGAATTCTGGCATTCTTGTACAGGAAAAAAGATCTCAAACCATGTCAATTATAGCAATTCCTGGATAAATGGGAACTGTTACAGGATACGAGAAACCTTAGTCCATTAATCATTTCAGATTTACCCAGTTTACTGGTGATCAATTAAGCCTCCAAAAATCTGTATATGAAAACATTTCTGAAGGGGGGAAATGCTTTAGATCGTGCACACATCTAAAGAATGTGTGTAAGGAAGCCTTGTAAAGAAGCCCACAAACGTTGCTAGGCTGCTACAAGGCGAGTAATGTTATTTCATATTGGCCCTCTCCATGGCCAGCATAGAAGTGCAGATTAGTTTTTTAAAAAGCAAAAGCAAACTCTACTTTCTATCAAACAGGGTGTGAATGTGCAGGTGGGTCTGAGCTAGACCCTTCCTCCACGGGAAGAAGGAAATCAAGTAGGCTGGAAACGTGATAGAGCAATCCATCCCTCCTCTGCCACCCTGATCCGTCTCCCTTGTGTCACCCATGCCAAATAGGCAAATATGAGGTTGCCCATATGCCACAACAGGCACAATCTTAAAAGCCACATTCATAGAATCATGGAATTGTACAGTTGGAAGGGACGAGGGTCATCTAGTCCAACCCCCTGCAATGCAGGAATCTTTTGCCCAGAATGGGGCTGAATCCCACAACCCTGAGATTAAGAGTCTCCAACTGAGCTTCCCTGTTACGGAAAACGGGAGGAGGAATGCCTCTAACACCTGCTGCCCACGATTTTTAAGAAAGTAACCGTTACTTCCAAATTATCTGGGTGAGACAATTTTCTTTTAAAAATAGAAGTATTCAAAAGGTTTTATAATCAGGTAATATGATTCATTCTATTTATGAATAACTTGAGCCTTAGAATTAACCATAATTTTGAAAGGGCCACGCTCTCTCAAATTTAAATCTCTTAACTTTTCACACACAAGGGGATATTTCCTGTTACTTTTGACCCATCACATGTGTGTTCGATTAGAAATCTCATCTCTAAGCTCATCTCTTCTGCCTCTGTGCTAAATTTGTTACACATAATTCATTTCCAAGGCAACCGACTGATAGCCAAAAGCAAAGACATTTCCATTGCAGAAACACGCAAAGGAGAAACTTTGTAATGCAGGAGGAAAGCTTGTGCTGTTGTTGCTGCTTTTTTAAAAATTAAAAAAAGACCTACAGACAGCAGGAAAAAGCACAAAAAGATCAAGGTGTGGTTCATTGCTTTGTGTCATTTCGCACCTTGTTTGTCATAGTGTGAAGTGCCTTCTCCTACCAAACTAATTACAAAGTAATCCAGGCATTAGAAAACGAAAACCCTTATTTTTGTTTTGTTTTACTCCCTTCACCAGCACAGTAACAGCCACACGAAAAATGAAGTGTCCAGTCACTGCATTTTGAAAAAAATCAGCCAGGTACTGCTGGGATACCAAAAGCTTAGCAAATATTAAAAGGTGGTCCCATAAGATAAAAGGTAATAAAAAAAAATCTACCTCAAAGCAATGCCGTTGCAAGGCCATAAAAAGGGTTCCAAAATCATATGTAAGTTTTGAGTTCCCCAGAAGTCTTCATCAGGCTAGATGGCAGGAAACAAGGGAGTTGGAGAGCGGAAGAGGAGAGAGCTGCACCTGGTTTGGGAGGTAAAGGTAAAGGGACCCCTGACTGTTAGGTCCAGTCACAGACGACTCTGGGGTTGTGGCGCTCATCTCGCTTTATTGGCCGAGGGAGCCAGCGTACAGCTTCCGGGTCATGTGGCCAGCATGACTAAGCCGCTTCTGGCAAACCAGAGCAGTGCACAGAAACTCCGTTTACCTTCTCGCCGGAGCAGTACCTATTTATCTACTTGCGCTTCGTGAGGTAGCAGGTATTTAAATGAGCCCCCCCCCTTTTTTATGCGCTATGCTGGGCAGGGATCAAGTTGCCTTGTGGCCTCTTGAGAAGGAGAAACAAAGCAACCTGCTGCTACTCAGTTCAGCTTATTTAATGATTAAGCAATAATCTTTCTGTCTGCTAGGCAGCGCCGACAGGTTATTTTTTGCATGTGAAGAAGGGTTTGGCTTGTGGCACAGAATCTATCTATCTATCTATCTATCTATCTATCTATCTATAATAAATCAAAATTTCTAGCCCATGTTTAAAAATACTTAAGACAGTTCCAGATTCCACTGTTCAAAGGCCCCATTTGACATGCTCCTCTTCCACAAGCTAAACAGGTTCTGTCCCGCACAAAGAACCCCACAGCGCCTCAAGTGCTTATCTTCCCCTCTCTTGCCATTCTAATTTATATGGCCTCACACAAGACATAAAGTCTTTCTTTTCTTTATCTGTCGTTCATGTAAGAATTTCTTTTTTAAAAAAGCCAATATTAATGCATTTCCAGTTTAGTAACACAGTATTCAGTCTCAACTGGCATTACCTTCTTTGGCCAGAATTTCTAATTTCAGCCCAAACTAAAGCACTATTATTAAGAAGAATGCTGCACCTAAAGCTCAGAGGTACAAGATGATCTATTTCCCAGTTATAATAACAAGGGTGGAAAAGGCTTGCCTAACAAGGTGAAAAGACACAAAACCTGACATTGTCACTTGACATTCATGCTTTCAAGAAGTTCTCTGACATCCAGAAAGCTCTATGTTTGGGCCAGCCATAAAAGTGATAAGAGGGAAGCACAGCATACATGTCACTAAAATAAGGAAATGGTTCTGCCAGAATTCAGTTTGAGAAAAATTTGCCATTAACATTTATGAATGTAACACCTCCCAACCATCAGTGAGCACTGAAAGCCTGAGATAAATGAGTAAATGCATATTGCACAGCTGCGTTCTAAGTCATGGGAATGCTCTACAAATAATTCCTGTATCTGACATTGCAGTCAAAGTAAAATTGTACATATGTCCCCATAAGGAGGAGGAAGTAAATTAAAGCCTCGCTAGTTGTGTGGGAACAATGTGCATACAAAACAGTACAAGAACAGCGTCACACTTCTTGCTTGCAAATAAGCACACAGAAATCCTTCCCACCTTGGAATTTTATTGCCTATATACCTTTCCCTGGTGATTTCAGAGTTATCCATCATATTCAGACAATACTCCTGCAACATATGTTAGGCCAAGAAATGGTGAATGACCAGGGTGACCCAGGGAGCTTTATAGCTGGGCAAGGATCTGAAGCCTTAGGGTGGTATTGAGCTACGTTTTACTCACAGAAGACTCACTGAATAAATTGACTTAACTTAGCCATGTTCATTCATTATAATGAGTCAGCTTAGTTGAATAGCACCTCTGATGTCCAATGCAGCATACTGTTCTAGACATAGATAGCAAAATGATGACATGAAAACTCAAACTGTCTTCTGCAAGGTTAGCTTCCCTGAAGGCCCTCAAAGCAAGCTTTCATCAGGAAGCAGCAGCACAATGTAATTTTCTTAGGTCTTGCAGACAAACATATACACAAATTAGCTAATGGGTTACTTGAATATCGGGAACTGCCACCTGCTGTCAACAACTCTTGTTTACAACCATCATAAAGCAACTAGGAGATGCTTCCTCCAGCTGCCTCGTGTGTTTTTTTTAAAAAATGTACTGCTTCTGTTCAGCTTCAAAGCTGGAAAGAAACAATTATCATTATTATACAGCCTGATTGAATTTCAATTTGTTGACAAGAGTGTTGTCAGTCCTCCAGAATGAATGACACACAACAGCTAAATTCTATGGCCGGGATCCAAGAGGCCATGCTCAATCTTTCATGCACAGATGCAGGCTTTCAGCTCTCTTTGCTACAGCAGCGCCTCCTCCCCTGCACAAAAAGCTGATCCCGAATGCCTACAAGCCTTCTGCAGTAGCAATGGTTGAGACATGGAGGGATGCTGATAGATGGGAAGGGTGACTGCCACCCTTCTATGATCACATAGAGAGGAATTGTGCATGTACTTTGGCATCCTGGTCCTCTGGAACAAATGCAGCACTCACTCGCATAGCCCATCTTGCTTTATTTTATTTCTGTTCTGGGTAAATTTGCCAGAACAAAGTCTAAAAGGAGTCTGCCAGGACAAAGCCAGAAAGGCGAAAGGCAGAAATCAGAGAAAGCTGTGGTATCTCATTCACTGGAGATGCTCAGGCAAAGGCTAGACAGGCACCTGAAACGGATGCCTTGGGCATGGGGTTTTCTTTCTTTCTTAGGGTTAGATCGTTCCTTTGCATTATATTCAAAGTAGCTGGCAAAATCACCACTTTGTGAGCAATACGAATGTACAGAGTATGGGAAAACAAGAAGAACTTGAGCTCTTAATGCAGGATGGCAAATATAACCTAATATGCATTACTGAAACCTGGTGGGGTGTGACTCATGACTGGAAGGTAGAAATTGTGGGGTACAACCTACTAAAGAAGGAAAAGTTCAAACAGGGAGGAGCAGTAGCATCTTCAAATATACTTGGAGGATGGAGCAAACTCCAGAGGCAAGGATCCAAACCAATGGATTCAAGTTACAAGAAAGAAGATTCCAACTAAACATCAGTAAGAATTTTCTAACATTAAGAGTTGTTTGACAGTGGAACAGACTCACACAAGAGGTGGTGGACTCTCCTTCCTTGGTGGTTTATAAGCAGAGGTTCGATGTCCATCTGTCAGGAATTCTTTAGCTGCTGTTCCTGCATTGCAGGGGGGTTGACTAGATAACCCTCAGAGTCCCTTCCAACTCTACAATACTATGATTCTAGGTCTCCACTAATTTCAGTATTGTATCATTCATAATCTGTGGCTTTAATTCTGGGATAGCAGCAAAAATTTAGTTTGATCTATTGAAAAAAGGAAAATCTCTCTCTTATGTAAATATCTTGAAAAGGAACCCTGAATCAACCATACAGTTTCTGTATCCATACAATTACATCACTTTCTCAGCCAGATTCACCAAACAAGTACCCACTCACTTTGTTTGAATCAACCACAGAAGCTACTACATCTTTGGCTAGAGAGATGACTTCATCTACTTATAACATCCTCCAAAGGCCAATCTATCCTATGCATGGCCATGGGAGAGACACTTTCTTTGGAAGAAAGTGATTGACAGTGATTGGGTAGAATTCAACACAGAGTGGGGTATGCAAGAGCAGAACAGGGTCTACTTAAGCAACAAGACCCTACCCCTCTTCAGGAGATTCTGCAGCCCTTTTGCAAATTTAGCAATTAATACCAATATAAAGAAAGATGAAGAAAAAGTTCTCAGTAAGTGATATATTATCCCTGTAAGGCTTTCTATTCAAACATAAGTCAGCATTATTGGAAGGGATGAACTTGCATTGCTTAATGCTTTCACCTTTAGTGGAAACACCCAATAGTGCAGGAGTTTTGGGACATGGTTGCTGATTACCGCACACTAAACCACAGCTATCTCCGAAATCTATCCTCCATCAACATTTTGAATGAACTACCATAGATTCCAGCACAAAGACTTTCTTAAGCAATTGTATACAGCTGGGATAACAACAACAATTGTGCCCCAGCCACTCTGGGATAATTAAAATCTAGAGACTATGCTTATAAACAAACTTACTCAGCAAAATCATTCAAAAAGGTATTATGATATCATGGTTTCTGTTTATTTCCTATGTGGAAGTCCTCCAAACTTCTCAGATAACACCAGAGAAGCAGCCTGGTGACCTGCTACCACCTAGCTCTCAGGGGTGGCCCCTCTCTCTCCCAACTGCTACCATACAGCTTTTGGAAAAACCATCTTGCCCTGATGTTCACTCTAAACAAGCAGTTTTTTCTCTCTTTTGTTTTAACTCTCTTAAAAAAAAATGATGATGATGATAATTTATTATTATTTCTACCCCGCCCATCTGGCTGGGTTTCCTCAGACACTCTGGGCGGCTTTCAACAGAACATTTAAAGCAGAATAAAACTTCAAACATTAAAAGCTTCCCTAAACAGATATCTTCTAAAAGTCGGATAGTTGTTAATTTCCTTGACATCTGACGGGAGGGCATTCCACAGGGCAGGCGCCACTACTGAGAAGGCCCTCTGCCTGGTTCCCTCCCTAAATTATGCTTACTGCTGCAATGTTTTTTGTGAAACTTTTTGTAAGATTCACATATAAAGTACTATATAAATACAACAATAAAAATTGAGTTGTGAGAGTGTATGCATGTTCTGTGGCCAGTATTTTTAACTCCATTTCAAAATAAAATAAAATTTTCATTATTTAAAGAAAAGGAACAGGGTCAGAAAAATATATGTAACAATGTTACATTGGACATTTTAACAGCACATTATGGGAAGAGAAAGGATTGTAACATAGGTTTTCAATATGGGGAGGCAAACCTCATGATAGCTTGCCATAGTAGTTTCGTCTCAAGACAAAAACTGGATTTTAGTTTGATTAGCTGGGGAGCTTTCTTACTTTTTTAAATTTTAAATGGTATGAACATTCAAACAAAAACCATTCAATTTCACATTGTGAGAACTGCCTGTCATTATGACGCTGCATTTTGCACATGCATGCAGTTCTTGGGGAAATTCACCCCACTACTGCTTCCCAACCTCTACAGTACCAAAACCAGCTCCTTTACCTGCAAGGTGTTGGTTAAAAAGTTGTCCTGGGAAACAATGTCCACAAAGAAGTCTGCTGGGATTTCACTGAGCTGGTGGTACAGGACCGAAATGAGGTTAACGAACAGGGCCTGATGCTTCACTATGGCATCCTCTGACCTGCATAAGAGATTCAGGAGTTTCTTCCAGTGCTCAAAGGCATCATATACATTCCCAATCAAGAAGCAGATGAAGGCAAACTGCAGTTCCCCTGAAAAGGTCACACACGCACACACAAAAGAAAAAAAACAAGAAGGTGTTTGTTTAGCTTCAATTCTGGTAGCATAACAAAAGGGTACACTGCTTTTATTATTTATTTAACCATTTTTATAACACCATTCATACTTCAAGGAAAATTTACAAACACAATAATACAGTTAAAAAGTAAATACAAAAAAACCCCATAATAAACTAAAAGCCACAATATCGTAAAAGCAGCATGAAGGAGTCAGCAGGATTGATATGGTGTCTAAAGATACCAGGAAATACTTTTTTTTTCAGGCATCAAAAGGACAATAAGGTAGGTGCCAGCAAATATCTCTGAAAAGAGCATTTCACAACCGGAATACCACCACCATGAAGTTCCTCTCTCTACAGCCAGCCACCCAACAGCAAGGGCATGAGAGCCTCTCTAATTAAGATCTTTACATGAAAGCCTTGGCTATGATATAAAGCAGATCTGCATAACTTGTGAACACAGCCCAACAGCAATGTAAGGTGGCCCACTAGGGCCTCCATAAACCTGCTTTGGGTGCATGCCTAGAACTTCAAAGAAAAAGAGGGCTATATATTTGGCATGCCCACAAGGTAAGCTCCACAGTGGTATTCTGCCTGCCTCCTCCCTGGCAGAGAAAGCTTGTGATAAAACCACATTAAGGTACAGGGGGCTGTATAGCTACTGAACTAGGCACTAGAGCAGAGTTCTCTCATGGTTTGGATTTGACATGAGCCACATTTGGCAAAAAGATTAGCCATCACTGTTTACCTGCCCTTCCTCATGTAACAACATTGCCTGATTAAGTTTCTATACAGCTTAATGGCTTGCATACTTATACTCCAATGCTCTGCATAATTTCTATTATTGGCAATTACTGGTCCAGGGTTCAGAATGAGTTCCAGCATTTACCGTATTTTTCGCTCTATAAGACACACCAGACTATAAGACGCACCTAGTTTTTGGAGGAGGAAAACAAGAAAAAAAAAATCTGACTCTCAGAAGCCAGAACAGCAAGAGGGATCACTGCGCAGCGAAAGCAGCAATCCCTCTTGCTGTTCTGGCTTCTGGGATAGCTGTGCAGCCTGCATTCGCTCTATAAGACGCACACACATTTCCCCTTACTTTTTAGGAGGGAAAAGGTGAGTCTTATAGAGCAAAAAATACAGTAAACAGAGGTCCACAAATATTGCTTAGCTGCTGTTTGTACCCAACCCCTACCCTCTCTAAGGCCTCCAGCATGTGCAGAATGCTTGAGGGACAGGGATTTCTCCCACTTCTGCTGAGATGGATGGAGAAGTTAAGAAAGAGCAGAAGAGGCTTCTTAGCTTTGAGACGTCAGGAACTGTGGTCATTTTTATCACTAAAGGGTCTGGGGCACTTAAGCTCTGCAAGTGGATTTGTAGATGCCAACATGTAATGCAGATAAATCAGTAATGAAGGAAAAACTTAAACCTTGCAATGCATGAAAATCTTAATTATTTGCAGAAGTGATTAAACTGCTTTCCTGTGGATAGTTTCAATACCAAATGTTATATTCTGTGAAAATTAGATATAAACAGAGGATTTTATTATAATTACTAAACTAATCTTGAGAAGGCTACTGTCATCCCAGCTTGATTTCATGGTTCTCTCCCCATGATATCTATAGGATTTATTCAAGAACATGCTCCCTAGGGTAGCACATGTCCACAGCTTTCCTTTGTTTCCAAGGGTGAGAGCTGATAATTAAGGTACCACTACTGAGAGACAGCAGCCAATTGACTCTAATAAGTAATTAAATAACAAATGCCTTACTTCTGAAATCTATCAAAGCAGAACCCTAGCTTTACCACTAGAGGTCACCAATATCACACATGAGAAATTTTTGGTTTCTCAATTAACCTACTGTCCATGGTTGTTTAGTGAGAAGCGGGTGAGGGAGTCTGCACCCTACCCAAATTTATCACTTAACCAGATATAAATGTTATAAGTGAAGTCAGATTTGTTATCACAAAAGGCTACTTTTCGGTTTACTTCTGAACAGCATAGAAGCATTCATGAGTGGAACTGAACTGTTACATTGATGACAGATGCAAGCACTGAAAAAAGCCCTGCATACCTCTTCAAAACGAAAGTATGCATTACGGTTCAGAAATTTTGTTTCCAGACACATTTTGGCATGCAAATGGCACCTGAGAGATACTTTGATAGCAACAAGAAAAGCAATTTCTGTAAAAGCCAGTTAACTCACCAAGCACATCCTGGGAATTGCTGGCATACTGTTTACTGATCACCGTCTCCAGGGCATAGCTAAGGTCCATGCTATGCCTAGTAACTTCTTCAGGGGTAGCACCTTCAGGGTACATTTGCTTAGGTATTTCTGTAAACCTGATCTCAGTGCCAGCTTTCAGCTGCATTTTGGGCAGCCGGGCCAACCCCTCTGCATAGCTTTTGCACTCTGTGTCATACCGGGGCAGGTTCTGTTCAACTCGATCTTTAGTAAACCTCCCAGGCAAAATAGGAAGCACTTCTGAAAAGGCACATATCTGTCCGCTTTCTGGCTGTAGTTTTTGCATCACAAATTCATTAATGAAATTAGTGAGGGAAATCCATTTTTTAAGAGTGTCATATGGGTAAGGACCCAGAAATTGGTCCATCTCCTGGAGGTTAGTCCTCATTGCTTCAGTCTCATTTTCAGAAGCTGGGGTAAGGTCTACTTCTTCCCTGACAGGGTCCCAGTGTAGCACTCGCAGATCACGCGGCTGCAAGTTCATGAAGAAGCCGGTGCGAGGGCCACTCTCTTTGCGATTGTTCTTATCAACAGAGCTGTAGTGAAGGAAATGAATTCCAGGGGGTATCATCTTGACTCCACGGAACTTGGGGCCCACTTGCCAAGTGTTGTAGTCAATGCCAAACTCTGTTCCTTCTGGCACATTCAAAATGATGACTGTAGCGCCCTCAAAAAAGAGCCGCTTTGCCAGGTCTTGATCTATCTGCATTTCTGCTTGTCTCTTGGTCACACTACAACCTTATGAGAAATCTAGAAGAGAGCAAACAAATCTCATCTGAATACACTTTACAAGCATGATACATATATGACTAGGCTCTTGCTAGACTAGTCAGTGCCAAGCTTGATGGGCCACATTCCTGACTCATTATATAGAAGCCAGGCAAAATAATTTCCCAACTGAATTTATCTTCACTGTCCATGGGATAGAAGTCACAACTACCTCCATCAGGAAACAAGATTCAAGTCCCAAAGTAAATAGGATTTAAAAAACTTATGTGTGCAGGCTTTCTGACTACTGTAGGCTTGAAAAGAAACTAGGAAGCTGCATTATAATGAGTCAGACCATTGGTCCAGCTACCTCAGTACTGCAAGGAGACTGTGTCAGGCATAGGTCACCAATAAAAAACACAGTGAAGTTAACTCATTATTCACGAAACCAAAACAGCACAGGCCTAGTGATCCCAGCAACTCTTCCCAGTAGGTCTTGCTCCAATGAGGCAATTGCAAGGACTGAAGGTCCTCACTTTTCCCCTGCTCTCTAAACCTCCTTCTCTCCAGGGTCTTTCCCAAGCAGTTGAAAACGGCATCAGCCCACAATCAATCTCTGCTCTTTGCTCTTTTCCTTTTCTCCTGTGTGTTTTTTATGAGTCTGGAGGTTGGGATTAGGGTGGTCACAGCGGGAGGGGGCAACTCCCTGGATTCTTCAGCAGCCTGCCTCAACTCTGCCTCTTAGCCAACCTCCTCTCTAGCCTCTGCTTCAGTCTCTGCCACAGCCTCTTCCTGCTCACTAAACCCTGTTACCTCTTCTGCTTCCGACACCACCACCTCCCAGGCATCTCCCTCTGATCATTCCACCACTCCCCTAACTCTGAGTCTTCTTCCCCTAGGGTTCCTTGGGGGATTCCTCAGCTGGTGCCTCCCACCACTCCTATGCATCCAGCCAATCCATGACACAGACAGGAGCCGCCTATCCCAGTTCTACTTGGGGAGATGCTACGGTATGAGTCGAACCTGGGGCCTTCCGCATGCAAAGCACGTGCTCCAGAACTACATACTTGCCTCTGCAGCCAACAAGGGAGAAAAAAAAAAGAGGAATGAAAAGGAGTAGGGGTAGAAGAGTTTCTGGCAACAGGAATTTAGATGCATGAGACTCTCCATCTCGGAGTCGTGGGTTCCCACCCCACGTTGGGCAAAAGATCCCTGCGTTACAAAGGGTTGGACTAGATAGCCCTCGTGGTCCCTTCCAGCTCATGTCTCTCAATTCACTTCTGACCCTTCCCTCCAACCGCACCTCCTGTAACTTGAACTCCAGCTGCCCAAGGAGCACAAGTTCCACAGGTGACGCTTCGCCTTTATTGCTGCGGAAGCGGCACCCGCGGGCTTCTAGACTCCTCGCGCAGTTCTGTTAAAGTGAGAGCAGAGGCCCTGCCCGGGGTGGGAGGGAATAGAGAAGGGGAGCCTCAAGGGAAGATGCTGGGGAAGTTTAGCCCGGGCCCACCGCGTGGCCGCGAAGAGGGAAAGGCGAGGGGCAGGAGATGCCACGCCCGCCCGACGAGGCCCTCGCCTACTTCTCACCTCCCTTCCGCGCCCCGAGGAAGGGAAGCGCAGCCGCCGAACTCGAGGAACTCTCGCCCCGGCGAGCCCCTGGAAACACTTATCGGCAACTTCCGGCAACGGCGTTGGACATCCGGCGACCCTGGAGACTAGGCAAAGCGAACGACGTCCGGTCCCTCTCAAAAAGCAGTCCGGGTGGGTCCCGCGGCAGCGCCTCAAGACGTTCCGCTCTGGATGCTGAAAAGTAGCCTTTGCCGGTTGAGAGGCAAGTTTGGCAAGAGGGTAAGAGGAGGCGGCGGCGCGACATGTTTGCTTGGTTGTTTGGAAAGTTGGCGGGATTGCGGATGTTTAATCCTCCGTCCGTTCTCCGTACCGAGAGGCTCGGCACTGTGCCGGCAGCTGCACCAAAGAAAACGCGTTGACTCCTGTGCAGGTTTCTCCGGCGCTGCGATGAGGTGTCCCTGCACACCTGTGGGCGGAGAGGACGGTTTCCGCGAGGGAGGGCACGAGCCACTGATCCGCAGCCAGGCCTCCTTCAGAAGATAAATCTGTCAAACAGAGCATAAGGGATCTACTGGTCGACCTCTGGGTTATTCGCTATAGACTAGAGCAACAAAGCGTTTCCGACTTCCCGGTGGTTTTAGAATAGCAACATCCTCCCATCAGTTTAGGCAGCTGGGGTTTAGAAAGCATGGGATAACCAGGTATGGTCTCTTGTGTGAAATGGCTTTGCGCCTTTTTCATTTCTGGTCCTGGAAACCCCTTTCCTAGGTCCAGATTGTGCTCGGTCAGAGGCTCCTTGTTTAATTCAAACTATTGTTTTTTGCACCTGGCTCTGGTTGGAAGATCTTAGAAGTGGTTTCACACTAGAAAAACCCTATCTGACACCAGTTTGGATGGTTTTAAACAAGAATTCATGAAGTCTATTGGTGGCTACTAATCCTGATAGCTATGTTCTACCTCCACTGTTGCAAGCCATGTGCTTCTGAATAATAATAAAAAAGTAAAATACCCGAAGCTGGAAACTAGGAAGGAAGAGTACTGTTGTGTGATGGCAGATGCTGTAGTTTTCTCAAGGGCCACAGGTTTCCTGCTCCTGCTATAAGGTCTTGAAGCTATAGGTTTTTAAGAGGGTAGCAAACACCAAAATAATAAAAACATGAAATCTTTTAAAGTGGTAGAGAACTCTTACTTTAGGCTCCAAGCAAGGTCCCCTGCCCCCTTCATAAAAGCTCAGTTGACTGCTCAGAAGTTTTACTTCCAAGGACTCGGGCAAGGTTGTTTCCCAGCCCTGATATGCAAGTTTCTTTTAATTAAAGTTAAGGGAGAGACACTTTGTGCTGGCAATCAGGCAATGGCTTTTCCCACCTGCCTTGCCCCACCCTCCAGGCCTAGAAGCCTTTCCCAGACCATGACTTTGAGCAAAGAGCAGAAGCATCTGGGAGGAGAGGAGTTCAGGGGTATTTTTTAAAAAATAATTTCATAACTTGCATGTCCTTGTTTCTCAGTTTGATCCTTTTTCATGTTTTGCCATATTTGTGGTTTTGTATGTTGTTGTGGTATTTTATGCATTGTGTCTTGCTGATATTTTTATTGATTATAGTTTAGTAATTCTTTACTATGTTTACTGTATCAGCCTGAATATAAGCCTCATTTCCCCCCCACCCCCAAATTCCAACTGTGAAAAGTTAAAGTGTGGCTTATATTCGCGACCTTGCGGTATGCAGCCAGGAGCGCAGGGCAAACAACACAACAAGCGCAGCAAAGTGGTGTCTGCCCCGCACGTAGTCCCCTGTCCTCTCCCCCAAGGCTGGGAAGGGAGAGAGCAAGGAAGGGGAAAGGCCGCTGACAACGCAGCACAATCTCCCCCCCCCCCCCCCAGTATGCACCCAAGAGCAGCAAAGAATGGAACGATTTATATTCAGGTATTTTTTTCTCCCCCCCTCCAATTTTAAAGGTGTGGCTTATTTTGGGTGTGGCTTACATTCCGGCCAATATGGTAAATGTAAACTGTTAAATTAATATTTGCTGATATTTAATTTTACTGTTTACTATTCTAATGGATTGTTGGATAATTCTTTATTTGATATAAGTTGTTTATTTTAAAGTTATGTATTTATTGTGACTTTTCTGTATTGGGTCAGATTGTTATTAGGTGTGTGATCTTTGCTGTCTATTTTGTTGTTTCTTTGGCTTGTAAGCTGCCTTGTGTATAGTAATAGAGAAAGGTGGTGTGCAAATTAAACTAATTTTTCATTTCATCTCACTTTTAGCTAAAGCCATTTCCACAAGCTTTCCCATTCATTAATACATGGAAGAGGAGTGGGGCCATGCCTGCTGGCCCTGTCCCCAACATGAGTGTACCCATTTATCTCACCACCATGTGGTTGGTGCAAAGTCTGGACAAGAGACCCTACATGTGTACAACTATAAAGGTGCAGGTTCCTCTACATGAACAGAACTCTGTACAGTTTGGATCCCTAATACCATGGTGGTGCCTTAGGGGTCATTCCACTTCATTTCAACGCGATCATGCTACCCACCATCTCGGATTTTGATGAAACTTGGTGTACACCCTTCCATTATGGTTGAAATATACTTTTGGGGGAAAACCCCCTGTAATAACCAATATTATTTTAGATTTTAAGATGAACAACTTTGTTTCATTAATTTTTTCTATTACAGCTATGGATTGTAGGAAAGTTGTACCCAGTAGCCATTTTCCCCAGGATGTCCAAAAAATGTAAAATTTCTGTTACAAGACATAAGAGACCATTAAATTTTATTCTTTGTTCAGAAAGAGCATGTCTTTGCAATAATTTTCACCATCAAAAACTTTTGATTCCATCGTGCCCGCATGCTGAAAATTTAGGTTTCTAAACCTAGTTTTTCCACCACATTTATACATTTTTTAAGGCATTTATAAAATCTTTTGAGTGCTGGTGTATTTTTTCCTGAAATCCTGATCATGTTATTGAGCTCTGTGTAAAATTTCAAAGAGATCTGATCATTGGTTATGGGGGGGGGGGGGGGACGTACACAAGGCCGAGGATCTCAAGAGGGACAGAAGCACAGATTTCACAAAACTCTGAAGTGCTATAAAATCAAAACTGTTTGTGATAAAGGGAAAAATCCGAGATGGTGGGTGGCGAAACCCTTGTTTTTGGCGTTGATTTGATGTGGAATGACCTTTAGGTTTTAAAGTTGGATGTGTGTAGGCTCAGCCTGGGTAAATTTGTGGCTCTTACTGGGCTTGCCTGATCAGCAGGAAATCTGAACTCATCGCTCTACAAGATGGCTTTAAAAAAAGTCTTCTGGTAGGATTCTACTCAAGAGTAGAATTAAATACCTAGTCCTCGCCCAGTTGATTTCCTCTTACACAAGAAAATCAAGTATATGTCCTGTGGCAACTGAGCTTCCAGAATAGTAAACTGTCCCTGTAGAACATGTATTTTAGAGTACCTATGCTTAATTACTACTTGCTGCACTTTTATAATCTATCAAGGGGGTCTAAAAAGGGTGTGGATTGTTATTTCACGCTTTCAGTGCCTGCTTATTGACTGAATTAAAATTCCAATCCCATTCTGTTTTAATGGCTGTAACTGCAACTAGGATGTGGAAGGTCCTATTATGGATTAATTCATCCAGTGTGAGAATATTTGATGCCTGTGAGATGCCTGGTTGTTTCCATCCTCACATACCAAATTCTTGCTCTATTCTCTTTACCACAGTTTATGGGGGTTAAGCTCGTGTGGGATTCCTTTATGAGATAAATGATGACATATAAATTTGTCTACTGCTTCCGGTCTTGCTCAGTGCAGCCACTGAGGAACCTAGAGATAGTGCTTAATTCAGGGGTAGCCCATGTGGTCCTCCGGAGCTAGCTCCCGTGAGCTCTGACCTCTGACCATCCTGGATGGGGATATTGCAAGTTGAAGCCTCACACCTGGAGACACCACACTGGCTACCTCTGGCTTGGATAAATTTCAAGGAGGTAGGGGGAAGTATTTTCTTGAGTTACTTATTGTCTTTTTATTCTGTACTCCCTCCTATGAGTTCAGGAAGAAGGGTAAACATTTCCCTTCATTTTATTCTCACAGCAACTCTGTGAAGTAGGTTAGATTATTTGAAGGAAGAAAACATGAGCAGGAAACCATAGTCATCAGGTTAGGGAGGATTTCTTTGTCTAACACCACGCTCCTAAACATGGATTGCATATCTCTCTTATTGCAGTTGACCTTATGTCAAAGTAAATGCATTTAGGATCAAAGCCTAGGTGCATATATACACATCCAGCAATAGTATGAAAAGAATAAATCGACAGGCTGAAGGAAATGTTTGTAACAGATGTGCCCTGTTACTTCCTTATATGAAGCTAGATGAAATAACATGTATATGTTGCGTATAAACAGTGCTTTTTTTCTAAAAAATGTTTAGGGGTACTCTCATTTTCCTACTCATATTGAAATATTGCCCCTCAATAAGGCCAAACTTTGATTCACAAAATGTTTAGGAGTATGCGTACCCCTGCCCCCCCCCCCGAAAAAAGCACTGCGTATAAATTTGTTGTTGTGACAACAATAATCTCTTTCCCTATTATTTAATTTAAATTGTTCAGATTTGACCCTTCCTAACCTTGGCTAGTGAGGGCCAAGTTTTAAGCTAAAGGTGTCACAAGACTCTGTTGCTCTTGCTGCAAAAGATTTAACACAGCTACCCCCCCCCCCGGGGTGGGGGGCAGAAAATAGGAGTCACCCCTTATTGGACAGTACACTTTGTTGTGTCACTCATAGAAGCTTCACTCATGAATTCAAGGAGAACCAGTTGTGACAGTTTGAAGCAGAAGAGGCTGTGCTGAGCAATGATTGGCTGGGTACTTGTGATGTCACAAAGTACTCTCCCCAGAGCAGTTTTTCATCTTACAGCAAATTTTCTTAAACAAACAAACAGAGATTAGGGGTGCATTCTTGTTCAGATGTGCTTTAAGCCAAGGATGGGGAATATGTAACTTTTTAGATTTTGCTAAATTACAAGCCCCATCATCCCTGACCAACAGATCCCCCACCTGTGCTTTTTTTGAAAAAAATAGACCACCTCTGCCAGCCTGAAATTGGCATTTGCTGTACAGGCATGTGTTATTTGAAGAGTGAAGTCAGGATCAATATACAGGGTGAAACAACCCTTCGCCCCCCCCCCCTCAATACTGTCTCATTTTTATGTAGCTACGTATGCACCCTAGATTTTGTTGTTGGTTTCAGATGCAGGCCTGATGAAATAGTTCATACAGAAAAGCCCATACAGTACATCCAGCACAACCTTCCCACCACAGAGTTCTTTTAAAAAAAATGTAATAATTGGAATGGCAGGAAAACTGGAATAACGTATCCCTTAGGAATAGGACAGACAAATGGGAATAATAGCAGCAGAATTGAGCATGAGCAATTGAGGACAAAGAATAGGCATGGGGAAGAGGTGAGCTCAGAAATGGGAGCTGGAAAGTTGGAGACTTAGTGCAAGAGTGCAGACATATAGGGCAAGACTATCTTACAGTGTCCTCACAATCTGGTGCTCTGTCGTCATTGTCATCCAAGCAGCTCTTCCCATTTAAGTCTGCACCCTTCTGAAGAATGTCCGCACCATCTCTCAAAATCAATGGGACGATAGTTCGTGCCAGAACCTAGGATCCTGAATTCCCAAGCTAACCCCCTTGCGTCTCTCCACTGCCCTTCTACTTAGGAGTAAAGTGCAAGCCACAAAGTGGTTGAGCATCAAACACATTTATTTCACTTTTATTGAATACAAGAACAGTGAGCACACACGCATACACCACCAAGCACTGAAAGAGGATATGATTGAAAGGGGTGGGGGGACAAAAAGAGGAATGGGGTGCAAGATGGCCAGAGGAGTTAGTGAGGAAGGAATGACAGAGCGTTGCAGTTGGTTGGTAAAGTGCTTCTCAAATTAAAAAGAAAGAAAGAATATAATTAGTAATATTATTCATGCAATTGCAGGGCAGTTTCGGAATCAACTTAAGGGATTTGGCGCAAACAATCAGTTTCGTCTCCCACGCCCTTCAGAGGGAAATGCCCAAAGAAAAGAAAAAAGAGTGGTCAGCTGCGTCTGATGGAAGCAGTAGTGAAGATTAAGGTAAGAGGAAGCCATAACTTTAAAAATTATGCATGGCTTCAACACTACCACAGATAATAAATATTATATATATTTATATATATTTATATAGATGTCTATATATAAGCCACATCCTGCTAGGTGAACCAAAAAAACCTATTTTTTTGTTAATGGCTACCCATCGGACAAGCTGCGGGAATAATAATCCGAAGGAACAAGTCTATTTTAGCTTTCCTCTGATTGCCCAGTTGGATTTTGATCTTGAGCATGTTGGGCTTGATGCTGTTTACCTCCACAGATTTGAGTGGCTGACTCACTTATCCCAATGTATACCAGTGTAAGTGGGATTGTGCTTTCCATCTAGCTACTCAACAGTGACTTTTGAGCTGATGTTATTTTCTTTTTTTGAAAGTCAAAATCAAAATGCAAAGTTTGAGAAGGGAGGGTTACCTCTACCCCCAAATTCCCTGTAACAATGTCACCAAGATCCCCCTGTGTCTTGGTTATTTTTAAAATTAAGAGCACAAGCTTTTTTGTGTTTTGTTAAGATCAATTTAGAGTTCTATGTATTTCACATCCATATGTGGTATTTCTTTGCTTTTCGGTTCTGGGGTATTACATGATCCCTATCAGCAACAGGAAGTGAACAAATTAATAACAGTCCTGAAATAAAACTCAGGGAGAGAAGCATATAGTTGGATACAGAAGTGGCAATGACTTCTACATCAAAGAAAGAAGTCTGTTTATGTTCTCAGTGCTTTACGTAGGCCATGTCTGCATGCCAGAAGCAGATCCAGTTTTAGAGAACTGTAAAGACCAACGACCCAATGCTTTCTATTGTAGCAGTTTACTGTATGGGAAACATCCACTTGACTATATTCAAGGAGGTCCTTTCACCCTAAGATCTCTAGATCCCAATCACAGACACTAATTAAATGTCCTTCTCCAGCTATCATGTGTGCTGAGGAGGGAAGATGTAAAAAGGCAAGCATGGTGCAATATCTGTTGTTCTTTCTCTAACGTCTGGAGCCACTGGCTGCTTCACTTGGAAACTGGTTCATTTTGGTTTGTTCCCCTTAACATTATGCATCTGCTGTCTTTCCCCCCTCAAACAGTGGATGAAGGCAATTTGTGGAAAGCAGAGAAGGAAACCTTCCAAGTATACCAGGTTCCATTTGTAGCAGAGAAAGTTACATTTGATGCCTTCCTCATCCACGAGCAGCGCCAGCCCTTATGGGTTGTCCCTTTCTGTAACTGAATGGATGTACTTTCAAAGAGCCAGTGCTTCGCTTGTCCTCCGGTTCTAGGTTGACAGTGCTTAGAAGGAAGCCATGATGTTTCACACTGGTTCCCCACCTGCCGGATACTCTCTGCAGAAGCTAGTGTCACCCTGGCCAAACACAGTCATGCAGCATACAGCAGGCAGGATGGGGAGGCCTCCTTGTTTGACCTGGACACTCCCTTTGGAGGGCTATCCATTGCAGATATGATGCTAAAAAGGGAGTCCTGTGGCCAGTAGGTCTGGAGGAACCACTTTATAGTTTTGAAAAACTGACACACAGGGCATCTTTGCTACAGGTAAATATTTAGGTCCGAGAGATCAAAGCCTACTAGATACTGAAAGGCTCTGAATGAAGCAACCTGACCTCATGTCCCCAAGGTGACCTGAGTCTCCTGGGCCCAAGGGAGGAGGGAGACCTTGGCACGCTTAAGTGACTAACTGGGCTGCAGTAACACTGATCCATTCTGTCTTCCTTGACTCCCTCTCCAGGTTGCTGAATGGTGCCTTATCACCAACCAACCAATTACAAACACTACTGTGTCACTATGTCTTTAGCAAGAGCACAGAGCAGGTGAGTGACAGACAAATATGGCCAGCAGAGATCATTAGTGTTTGTTTTCTTCCTACTCTGTTTTCATGGGATATTGGCATGATCTAAGAGTCTTATAATACATCAACCACGGTCAATCAAATAATTATAATGTAAAAATGCCATTGTCATACTTATCAGCACTGTTTAATTTGTTTTAATATCGTTCCCCACCCTCCCCAGTTATATATAATATACATAACTTAAAAGCACATCCATATGAAACCTCTACAGGCTGCATTTTGATCAAATATAGAAATCATATACATATTTTGATTTGTTTTAAGTGAAATCCAGTCTTAATGATCTTCAGAAGAACAAAGAACCGGATGTGGGGGGACGAAAGGTTGAGAAAGGAAGGGCAGTTTGGGGAAATAACAGAACCAAAGATGAAGCAACAGAAGTGGCATGGAAATGGAGAGAGAGGGTGATCACCACACATCCCAAATCAGAAAATAATTAAACAAGAATTATACAAGTGAATGGTTTTTGATTCATTCCTATGCAGGGAATCATTTTGTATTTCTGCTTGTTTTGCTTGTTGATTTCTTGCTTTGTTGCAAAGCATTCTTGCTTTTCCATTCAGTGTGCAACAAATGAGTTATGTATCCTTTAAATGTAACATGCAGAATGGTGGTTTATTGTATTGTTAATAATAATATTATTACCATCGTGACTTTTTTTTCTTTCTTTTAGATCAGTCCAGTCAATTCTTCAATTTATTTGAAGAGGTGGTTGGTTTTTGTTTGTTGCTGATGTTGCTGTCTGTAATTCATCTCCAGCATATAGCAGCAGTGCAAGGATGCATTTTGTTTCCTGTATATATAATATATAATATATTTGCTATTCCTTTTTTATTTTTATTTTTTGTCTCTCAACATTATTCTTGCAGCCAGGACGTTCTATGTCTCATTGAGGAATCCAGCATAAAGGCCCCTTCTTTTTCTCCAAAGTTAAAATAGAGATGCCAACTTTTAGAAACACGAAGGTCAAGATTCCTGTACCAGAATGAAAGGAAGGAGGAAGCAATAGTAAGCACAATGTAAGCATTTTATCAAGACAATAAGCAAGACTGTCTCTAGCAGTTTGGTTTTCTGGGACACCTTTTGCTATAATGATGCAATGGGGTGCTGTCATTTTGGAACCTGTTTTAGAGAGGTCAAATCTAGGGCACTGAATTTTTAGACTTCCCACCTGCAAGAAAACTCTTTGCATGTAAATTCACTCAACAGGGAACTTGTTGCACATCAGCTGTGGAATTTCTGCATGTTTCAGAGGATTCTAGAGTATGTTCTGGGGTGTATCCTCAGTCAGCACAGACTTTCAGCCGAGCCTAGCTGTTGTGCTGTGTGACGTGCTGTAGAAAAGGCCCAACATTTTTCTGCAGCTGCACATCACAGAGAAAGTGCAATAATGATGAGCAAGCTGTCTGCTGGGAAGCTTGGTTCTGGGAGCTAACTTCCCAATGAGGCACCTCTTCTAACCATTCAAGGAACCTCAGGATTCCCACTGAAAATTACTGGTCATCCAGTTGCAAAGGTTTGCCCTTTAGTAACAAAGCTAAATAAAAGATAAAGCTTTACGCTGCAAGCTCACCACTTTGCCATGGCCATGATAACCATCTAGCCAAGCACATATTGGTGTAGCTGAAGTTTGGAGGGCTGATGTCTTTTGAGGGGAGGCACTGTTTCTCAGAGGGATGCGGGTGGCGCTGTGGGTAAAACCTCAGTGCCTAGGACTTGTCGGCGGTTCGAATCCCCGCGGCGGGGTGAGCTCCCGTCTTTCGGTCCCAGCTCCTGCCCACCTAGCAGTTCGAAAGCACCCCTAAGTGCAAGTAGATAAATAGGTACCGCTTTATAGCGGGAAGGTAAACGGCGTTTCCGTGTGCTGCGCTGGTGCTGGCTCGCCAGAGCAGCTTCGTCACACTGGCCACGTGACCCGGAAGTGTCTGCGGACAGCGCTGGCTCCCGGCCTCTTAAGTGAGATGAGCTCACAACCCTAGAGTCGGACACGACTGGCCCGTACGGGCAGGGGTACCTTTACCTTTACTTTTTGCTGTTTCTCAGTAGAGGTCTGCCTGTTTTGACAACTGCAACATATCCAATTCGTGTATCATTCTTTTATTCTCCTATGTTGCCTGGCCTCTATAGTCAGCTAGATGTTACATCTTATAGGGCCACTTTCCACATCTTTTCATACCTGAGGCTTCTTGTCCCTTTCCTCTGGAGATGGTTCTGTTTCTCTATATACTACGGCTTTGGTTACCAGCATGTCAGGATGCTGCAGTTTTGCCTCCTTGATTGCCAAAGCCAAAGCCTATGGAAACAAAACGCTGAATGTTAAATGGCGGCTCACGTGACTTGCTGTAAGGAGGTAGCAACTGAAGATCATGTGGAAACGAGGAAAAGGTATGTTACTGAGGATGCATAGAACTCTATTCATGGTTCAAGAAATCTTAACATTCTTGTTGTAGATTTCCCATTCAAACCTGTGGCTTGGATCTTTGGAACCACAAATGAAAATAAGTTCCTAGGAGGTGGCTTTAGCGTTCCCTCCTCTCCCCCTGAATTCCCCGCAGAGGGCTGTAGGGAGACTCTCTTGAGTATGGACGCTGGTGGAGGAAGGGGTCACCAGCCAAAATTCAGCAGAGGAATTTCGCATACACTTAACTTCACTGGTGCCCAATTTTGGACCATTATTATTTCCTCTGTCAGCCCAAAGCCCCGTTTCATGCTTTTCAAAAGAGGCATCACAGAGAGGAAGGAGTGGGCAATCACCTGCCTTCCGTTTACAGTTTGGAGGAAAACTATGTCCTTAAGAAAATTCATCTGCAGTTGTAGCCCTCTGTTACTGTATGTTGCAATCCCAGCTTACCTCTAGTGTATTGCAGTATGACTGGACTGAAATTGCAGTTGCACCCCCTAACCTACACTTACAGATCTGCTTCCCTTGTAACAGTGATTACTCTAAATGGTCAACATGTTACAGAACAGTGCTGCAGGAGTTTAGAAAGTTGAAATTTCCTCTTCTATGTGGCTACCAAAAGTATAGAAGTTCTAGTGTAGGCTGGAGCATCCCTGTTCTAATATGAAATATTGCAATTGTTTTATCTTTTCTTGCCGGATATTATGATGTATGTGATTTTAGTGCTTTTTTGTTATTTTTCTTTTGTTTCCATCTCTTATAATTTACAAATTTTGAGTAAATATAATTAAAAGTAATAATAATATGAAACTTTAGAAGAGTGCATTTGATTATTATTCTTACTACTACATCTTCCAGAGGCTTATGGTGGCACTCATTTCAATTTATCCTGGCTTTTTAGTTGTTGCTGTTTTATAATTATTTACTATGAAGGAAGCCTACAATGGTTTTACTTAGCTTATTGTTGATTTTATTTAGTTCATAATTAGGTTTTAGTACAATCAAGTGGTATTTAAATGCTAGTAAGTAAATAAAAGGCATACCTCTGGATTTCTTTTGTGTTATTGTGGCAGTAAGTCTACCTGTCACAGGGTGATCAGTACTGCGATTTGCTATATACCAGTAAAAATATGTGAGACTCTTATTTCTACCACTAGCTTTCTATGTATAGGGAAGGATGGATCTGGGGATTCTGGCCTCCTTAAGCTTTCCATCCTTGTATTTATGGAAAGCTTATTTCTAACATTACTGACAGCCTCATTCAGATTTCCTTCACACCTGGTCTTGGTCCACATCTTCATCTCCTGTTATGATGATTCGCTTTTCTATTCTGGTTTCAGAAAATCCTCCTTTCACAGTCTGAAATAAGGAAAACAACACATTGAGTGTTTATACAGCACTTCCAATATTTAAAATGTTTTGTAAGTTACCTATTCTCTCACTCAGCCACTGCAATTCTATGAAGGCTATCGCATTATTTCCTATTTTATAGATACAGAGTTGGGAATAAGAAATAATAATAATAATGATGTCTTCTAATGTCTTCTTGAATAGCTTCCACATGGCTCTTAATTTTGCAGTGTCTCAAGTTGAGTGGTCTTACTTGGCACACATGCTAGTATTCTGGTACTCCTGCTCCAGTCTTACCTTGGTAACATGAGTGGTTGTGGAGGTGGAGAGGGTTTCTGCTGTGGCACCAAAAAGACTGGAGAAGGCTTCTTTCCCAACAGCACTGCTGGTGATCTGCAAAAACATGCAAAGCACCATCCACGTCAGCAGACTGCCTTTTTTATTAAACATGCATACTGGGGCGAAGGTTTATCATGTAAAAGTGTCTGGGCTCTGATTTTCTATTTTTAGGGGGGGAGTGGTGGGATCTGTTTGTTATTAACGAAGGTCATAGTTCAGAGAGAGAAGATGTTTTGCACACAGAAAGTCTCAGGTTCACTCTTGGGCGTCGCTTTTGAAAAGTTCTCTTTGCAAACCACTATACCAGTCAAAATCACACAGTACTACTGGGTGCTAAATAAGCTGCTATGACATTGTATACAGCAACCCTGATATCTTCATTGTATTCTAGTATTGCATTCATTTGGTCATTGCTTATTTAAATAAATCAGCTAACTGTTGTCTACTAGTGCCTATTTTGTTAACAGTGCAATCTTATGCATGCGTGCTTAGGAGAAAGTCCCATTGCGTTCAGTGGGGTTCACACTCAGGTTAAGTGTATACAGGACTGCAGCCTGAAACAATAATGCCAAGCTAGACACAGTCAGAATTCAGATACATCGAGTAGACTATCTGAAGAACATCTCAGCAGCATTCTAACAGGCTCACAAGGACAGCCTCTAGCAGACATTTCCAGGTAAAGTGGAATTGCAACAGAGAAAGCTCTGTATTATCTCCTAACAGGTTTCAACACTTGAAAATAAAAGGGGCCCGCAGCGGGCCTTAATGAGTAGGAAACACACTATAATTTACTTGTACAACTACAGAAGTATCAGATAACCTTTACATATTATGTTGGCTTTCTACTTCATCA